AATAAGTGGACTTGTGGTTCGTGCTCGAAACTTTATATTGGACTAACGGGTACAACATCTTTCCAAAGAATAATAGAACATAGGAGTATTTTATTGAATGTAATAATAATAATAATAATAAACGTCTATTACTACAACCACAAAAAACACAGTATCAAGTTCTAACTACATATAAAAAGTTATAGTAAAAGGCGAAGTTCAATTTTCGCAGCAATGCAAATAACTGCTAAATTGTGAAGACCAATTGCAAATAATCTGCATACAAAGGGGCATGAGTTCAATCACGATTATGAAGTATTACATTAGGAAAGAAAAGTTTGAAACTCAATCTGAGTTACCATTCTTGGCTATTCTCGTTATAAAAAACGCTAAAAAAGGGTTCAAAATTTGATGTATATAGGAAGAATTCTAGCAGCTTTTCGACAGGTGACACCACTGTCCACAACAAAAAACGGCGGTATTTCATTTTATTGGCAGTATGCTGGTCACTTCCTTCTTGAGCAAAGAAAGATATGATGTAAAGAAAAAAGTTATCAAGCTGAAAGTAACAGACATTCGTCAAATATAGTGGATGATTCAATCAGGATACGAAAATTTAGGGACTATCTTCGTGAATGTTTGACTCTCAGAATTTTTCAAAAATTGAATATGAAAGTTGTTTTCAAAACTGCTCGTACACATCAAATTTCGAGGTTGAAGTTCAAATTTCGAGATTGAAGTCGAAATTTCGAGGATAATCTCGAAATTATGAGATTAATCTTGATATATTGAGTTCAAAGTCGAAACTTCGAGATTGAAGTTAAATTTGGAACATCGAAATTTCGAGTTTGAAATTAAAATGTCGGGTTCAAAGTTGAAAATTTGACATTAAAGTCGTAATTTCGAGATTGAACTCAAAATTTTGAGATCAAAGTTGAATGTCCAGTTTAAAGTTGAAAATTTGAGGTCAAAGTCGAAATTTCGAGTTTTGAAGTTGTAATTTTCAAGAAAAAAATAATAAAAATATGTGGCTCTTCTGCACTTCCGTATTATGTTTCAGTTTTTGTGTTTGGAAAAAAATGAATTATGTCAGAATATAATAATTTTTATCGAAAGATATTACAGAAATTTGACAAAAATCAATCTACGCCTTAGCTTTCATTTCACAGATATATTTTCCACTTCTTCAAAGCACTAATGAACATACTTATGAAGAAACTCGCGGATATTGAATCATTCACATACATTGGAAGTAGATCATTAGGAAACTCACCTTAGTCACAAACAGTAACACCAAAAAAAAATCATCGAACATATCGTTTGAATCTGTACAATACATGCGAAAAAATTGACTGAAAAACAAATATTGAAACCTCTTTTTGTCTTACTTGGAATACTAAAAAGGTCTATTTGAGTTGAAGGGGTTATATTTTTAGGAGTGATTAATTTTTGGGAAAGAAAGTTTTTGGCTTTCTACTACTCCATCTTGATACATTGTCTCGTCCATTTGAGGTACCGAAACAAAATAGGCACATCTTCTAGGGTCCCACACAGTTGAAAAATTCTGATCTCTCAAAAGTTTGAATATATTTAGTCATAAGATGTGAAAATTTAAGATAATAAATAGCAAGGTTAGATAAAGGGGTTGCTAATAAAAAGGTATTTCTGATTAAGACCTTAAAATGCCAATTTTAATGACTACTAGTAACTGAACATTTTCTCAACAGAGGTGAACTTCGATACCTGTGGGTAGGATGTTTGATCGCACTACTATCTGGAGCTGTCGTTGCTTTGGGAGTCCTCAGCGACAATATAGCGTCTCTTGTTGGAGTTGCCATTTCAACGTCCATAACACCACCAGCTGTAAATGCAGTGAGTTTTATGTATTACAAAATAGAAATTTGTTTCATACACCTTCTATCATATCTTGGGATGAATATCACTGAAGTCTTATCCCAACACCAAACCGTTATTTCAACGCCCCGATACGTTTTTCAATCACCAAATGATCATCTTCAAGAGGGGGATTAAACATTTCAATCTTCCTCATGATCACTCGGTTTTTATTAAGGACAAAACACAAGCACTNCCCATGCTGACCCTTCTTATCTTGGTCCAGATGAAAGAGTTCTTGAACAGTGAAGTTCGAGGTGTACTGAGTTGAACCTCAAAACGATGAGCAGATACAATTCGTCGCGAATATGTACCGCTCTTGGTGGAATGAAATGTGCCAAGTCACTTGAACAGTTACCGTGAAAGTATCTATAGAAGAGAGACAAACCTCCAACCTTTCTTCGATGTTCCAAGCTTTTGAGGAGCAGCCTTTGCAATTCCAGCGACATGATTATGCCAATACATATTGGTGTCCATTTTAACCTCCAACAAAGTTATCGAAGAAGAAAGTAGGATTGTCTGACCTAACATCATTGTATCCGATTCAGAGACATTTATCTTCTTAGAGAAAACGGATGCCTGGGTTATTGTGGCATTGAATTGAACCTGGTTACCTTCACCCCAATTCAAAATCAGTTCTAGATCCTCATTAAGATGTGCAACCTCCTGCTGCCTGTGAAGATGTGCCTCCATAGCCGATGTCCTGGAATCCAAATGGAATGGGTTGGAGGGTTCGAGACAATCCCTGGGAAACACCAGCATTGATGGTGAAAGTATTCGAGAGCCGGCCAGTGACGGCCACTTGCAAAGAACATTATTTCAGGAAGCTGAAGAGTCATATACAAAAATGATCCAACGATGCCATAGCATCGAAGTTTGGCCAGCAAAGCCTCATGCCACATACGATCAAAGACCTTAGAAATATCAGGCGCAACAGCTCTTGATTCTCCGTGTTTCTCGATTGAGTTATTCCAAATATGGGTGACTTACGATAGAAAGTCGCCTGTTGATTTTTGTTTCCCAAAGCCATATTGATGATCGCTCAACATGTTGAAGCCTTCCAAATATTTGAGGATATGGTGATTTACGACTTTCTCCATGATTTTTGATAGCACATGTGACGAGGTGTTAAAATGGTGGTTTGGTGTTGAGATAAAACTCCAGTAATATTTATTACTACACCAACGGTTCCAAATAGTGTATCACAAATATATCTTGGGATATTCATTAAGTCAGTAACTAAGTCTTTGTTGTTTGTGTAAATGGGACAAGTCATATTTTTCCCAAACACATGTTTTGATAGTTCCTGATTGAGAAACTTTGCTTCTCTCAATTATACGAATGGTTTCAGTCAGAAAAATCGTTTTTGATTTATGTTTCTAGGGATATAAGTCAGGTAATTCCACCTTAGTACTATTTTTGTGAGATAACGATTAAAATGCTCAGAGTTGATTGCTTATACAAGAAACATGACTAAATCCTTTTTGTCCAAAAACAAAGATTGTAATTGAAAATTGTCTGACTGTCGTAAAGAAATTAGGAATATCAGTACAGCGAATTGTTGTCTGTAGTAACGAAATTTCATCATGGTTTCGCTAAGGTTGATAATGATTTGGATAATTTAGATAGTACTGTAATATAATCGGCGAAGTCACTGTTCAAATGTATATGCAAGTCTTATCCCATTCAGTGAATCCTAAAGGCACAATTCAACAACAAGTAAAAACAAGAATACTGGTTAATAGTTTTTCTTGAGAAACCAAGTTTTGCAAAGAAAATAATTTACCTAAATAATTCAACTCATCTCTCAATTCTGGAATTAGATTGGATATTTGTGTGACATGAAAAATAAAACAGGATTGATGAAATAACTGATGGTATCAATACAAAGAACAGTATAGAAGTTTGGAAATATTTTCCAAAGAATAACGTATGTCGATGTCAGTCGTTGCTATAACTACAGAATACTATATAGTAGCGAAAGTAAAGTCGGCACCTTCCATGTTGAGGGGGCAAATTTAAGTAACTTTGAAATCATATCTTGAGTGAAATTATGCTCAGCACAATGAGAAAAATTACTATATTCATCATTCAAAAATAAAAGTTGCTATCCACAGAAAACTAATTCAAAACAACATCAGTAGGTACTTCATGACGGTATAAACGGTTAATTGTTTTGATGAATAATTCAAAGAGGCATTCCATAATTCTCTAAGAGTTATCCAATCATTATTAGTAAAAAAAGAGAAATGAAAATGTCTATGTGGTAAGAAACATAGAAATTTTCATTTCTCTTTTCATTATGATTTCCTACCATGTAGTTAACGGCTACATCCATCAATTTATTATTAATAAATATAATAGGTACCCTCACCTTCTCGAAATACAGTACATATCCAATAGTAAATAATAATATATTCGGAAAATGTTATACGTTTACAAAACAGAGACAAAATAAATAAATAAATCGAATTAACGTCAATCATAGGTTTCACATGAAAAATTATTCACACATTGAAATATTCTTGAATTGTATATGATTATAAGTGGATCAGAAAAAGCTTCTGACAAGTTTTTTAAATTTGTTGAGACTTTATTTACAAGTTTTGATGAAATTAAATTCCCTCTATTAAGAGCAAGGGTGAGAATATTCTATATTTTTCAATGTTAAAGTGTGAATGAGAAATTCCCTGAGTACAACTAATTTTATCAAATTTGAAAGAAAAGCATGTCCTCGGCGCCACAAATGCGTTTACGCCACACACATAATTAAATGCATTTTGTGTTATTATAGTTTCTGTTCTATACTCGTAATCTGCAAGTGATATTGCTTTGGAAAAATTTTCATTATCTCTCAGGAACAATTACATCTGTTGCTTTCAGATTCATTAACAGTTTATCGTGATCGTCTACACGATTTGAATGTAAATAATTTTGGCAAAAATTTTTTCTGAATGCCCTCTCGAATTGTATTGGTGTTGGATTTATACTGTTGCCTCCTTGCTGTCTAAAACTTCCAAAACATTTTCAACACGATTTGAATTTACTCTTCTAGTTTGCAGATATTTAAAATCTGCCAATAACAATTTGCCCCACATTTTTCGACTCCATTTATGGTTATAATCCAACACTTCACTGATTTACATTTTGAAGTAGTGCCTGCACCTTTTTCATTTATCTTTTTCAATTTTTTATAGAATGCACCATTTCATCCATGTAATCGAACTGGTATTCGGTTGCATCAAAAACATTTTTGAATTTGTTTTGACTGTTTCAACAAATCAATAAGTTCATTAAATTTTTCGATTACTTCATTTTTCGAGGAGTAGTAGTAGTAGGAGTAATAGTAGTAGGCGTAGTAGTAGTAGAGGATTAGCTGGTGTCTATGTCGAAATTGAGGGAGACAGCAGTGGTGAAGCGATTTTGGTCTGACATACCAAATCATCCAAGGAACTCCTATCGGCAGTTTCCGAGTACTGAGTACCACTTGGATCTTCAATTAAAATATTTTTGTTACTCAGACTGATGAAAGTTGGAAGTTGGTTCTTTCAGTTGAGAAACAATGGCAATATCTAAAAATTTCAAATGAATAAAACTGTGATTTACTGAAATTGTAATTTTGTATTTTCCAAAAAGAACTAAACTGAGACTCTACCTGATAGAATAATCATTTTTCTGTTTGGTTCTGCAGATTCCTGTTTGTTTTCGTTTTAATGTGTGCGTAAATAATGTTGGAACAGCTTGAACAAATGAAATTTTCCGCGTTTCTTCTTTGGATATATATTTTTCTTCAAATTGTTTTTCACATTTATGCCGAGTGTCCACGTTTTTTACAAGCAAATCTTCTCTATTACATGCTTTCGCCCATTTCTCAGACCTGAAAGAATGAATGCTCAAGCAAGAAATTCTTCGAAAATACTAGACGGAAAATCACAATCAAAACCAAATACCAAATCTCACTTCAGAAACATAGTTCAATGCAGAGAACTATGCCTTTTCCAAAGTACACTGACTTTCAAGAGAAACTGTGGTTCAGAATTAAAGCCATTTTATTAATACACTTGATACGTACCTCACTGGGTCTTTCGGAAAGAAAAACAAACAAATTCGTTCTTGGTTATATCTGAAAGAACAACCACGATAAACACATATAGTACTACCACCTTCCGATACCATTTCAGAATTATTGTTAGAAAAGTATAGTAATCAAGACAACTTAATTTCACTACCTGGCGCTAAGGTTAAGACGTAAACATTTATAAATGAGGTTGATTACAGTGACAAGTATCATTCGTATTAAATGGCGGCTGTGTTCGAGCAAGGTGGCTTTACTTTCGCTTCTGTGTAGTTCCGATTTTCTGTGCTATAACTTCGACATTTAAACTTCGTTCTCACATTCAACGCAGATACAACTGATGATGTCTGCCGCAGTAGCCCGGAATTTGTTTTATTTAATTCTGAATAGATTGTTTGGTCTAGTTAAATGCAATCTCACCTAGCTTATATGGATTCTGGTTTGTGATTTATGTGTATATAGGTATGTCCTATTACATATGCATAGAAACCTTCTTGTTTGAACATATTTGCTTTTGTTTTGTCAAAAACTTTCGACATGAAAAATGAGATTGACCCAACTTTGTATACATATTGATAGATGGAGCAAGAATCGAAATCTGTCGCTCGTATTTTATTCTTATCTTCAATACATGGGCCATATTGTGAAAAATCTTTCACTTGATATCAATATTACTGGAGTTGTATCCCAACACCAAACCGTTATTCCCACACCTCGACACGTGTTTCGATCACCAAGTGATCATCTTGATCATCTTCGAAAGGAAGATTAAACAGTTTAATCTTAAAGATTAATCTTATTAGACACGTTCAGACAAATTACAGTGTGGAACTTCAACAGATATGGTGATCAAGCAGTCAACGATGAAAGCTATGAAGACATTGTCATAAGTAAATGAGTTTAG